TCCTTCCTGGCTTATTCTTCCTATCATGGTTTGACATCTATCGAGTCCCTGTTGGAGATGCTCAGCATGTCACTCTCCCTGCAGGTGGTGATGACATAGCCAGAAGGACCTCAGCTGCAAGGCATCATGGGAACACAAAAGCCTACATTGTAGGGGCCGACTGCCTCTGGGGAACCAGCAGTCCAGGGTGGGCCAATGCCCAAGGCCCAGGAGTGACCCCACAGCAGGGGCTTCTTGGTAGAGGGGGATGCCAGTCGCCAGGAGGGTGGCAGGATGCGGATTCTGGAGAGGAAGGAACTGGGAGGGAAGGGAGGGGCAAAAGGGACCCGAGAGGCCAGAGTCTCCGCAGGGCCTGAGACCGATGTCATGTCACCAGGGCGGAGGGGGGAGGTTGCAGCATGGGACAAGTGGGCGGCTTATTCCAGGACTTCTCTCCCCTTAGGCCCTCAGCTTTTCAGCTGGACCAAGTCACCCATGACCTTCACCTGGCCCACGGAACAAGCCACGGGTGCAAGCTGTGGCTTCCAGACTCGAGCAGGAAGCAGAAGTACCTGCAGCACCCACCAGGTTGCAGGCTACTGGACTCCACCCCAGGCTTCTGGGAGAAGCCCAGGAGTCTGTGTTTCTAACAAGCTCCCAAGTGAGGCTGACCCTGCTGGTCTGCTGGTTTAGGAGCCAGACCCAGAGAAACGTTGTTCTCAGCCCTGGCGACACAAAGGATGACCCAGGACAGCGGTGCTGGCATCACCCAGGAGCTTGTCAGAAATGCAGAGTCTCGGGCCCACCCAGACTCCCTGAGTCAGAGTTTAACGACATCCTCAGGTGATCTGCCTGTTGGCCTGTTTCAGCTCAAGAAGTGCTTACCTGGAGCTGTGGGACCCAGAATCCCTTGGGGAGCCCAGGGGGGGAAAAAACACTTCTACTGGTTGGAGCCTGGGCAGCATCATTAAAACAACTCTCCAAGGGATTTGGGTAAGAACCCTGGACTGAGAGGCACTAAGACCAGTACTGAAGACCAACACCCCACACCACTCGCTCCCATGTCCCTGGACCTGAGCCTGATCTTAAAATCCACCTCTGTTCTCTGTCCCCTCACCACACTGGTCACATAGTGACCTTGAGGCCCCCTTCCTGGCACTCAGGATGCAGGTGTTTCCTCAGTTTGGGGTTTGGTTGCATCTCTCGCCTGAGCAAAGATTTCAGCTTTCTGGCAGAGACCTTGCTATAGGCCTGCGGGGTCAACCTGTACATACACCCTGTTGTTAGAGCAACAACTGAAATGCCCAAAATATTTACTACGGGTTAGTTACACTGTACATATATCTTACTTGAACCTTATAAAAACTGAACTAGCCTGGATGTAGAGGCTCACTCCTGTAATCCTAGCACTTTGGGAGACAGAGACGAGAGGATTGCCTGAGTCCACAGATTCAAGACCAGCCTAGGCAATATGACAAGACTTCGTCTCTACAATAAAAAATTAGCTGGGTGTGGTGGTGCATGTCTGTAGTCCCAGTTATTTGGAAGGCTGAGTTGGAGGGGTCGCCTGAGCCCAGGAGGTTAAGGCTGTGGTGACCATCAATCTGCCACTGCACTCCAGCCTGGGCAACAGTGAGGCTCCAACTCAAAAAGAGAAAAAAAGAACACACACACACACACATACACACACATACACACACACACACACACACGCTCACACACACAACTGTATTAGGTAGGGTCTTTTTCTTTTTCTTTTTTCTGTCAGTTCTCTCTTTGTCGCCCAGGTTGGAGTGCAATGGCACGATTCTGGCTCACCACCGTCTCGACCTCCTGGACTCAGGTATTCCTCCCATTTCAGACTCCCAAGTAGCTAGAACTAACGGTGCATGCCACCGCACCTGGCTAAATTTTTTTTTTTTTTTGTAGACACGAGGTCTTGCTATGTTGCCCAGGCTGGTCTCAAACTCCTGGGCTCATGGGATCCTCCCACCTCAGCTTCCCAAAAGTGCTGGGATTACAGGTGTGAGCCACTGTGCCTGGCCAGGGATTATTATTTTTTAATCCTATTTTCCAAAAGAGGAAACTGAGAAACAGAGAAGCCAGACCACAGGCCTAAGCTCCCAGCTAGCTGGCAGCACAGCCTGGGTTGGCGACAGGGTAACCTGACCCAAATCAGGCCCTCCACCCTGGGCTGCACTGTCCTCCTGCTTGACCCTGCTCCAGGGAGGAGGCGTGAGCTCGTCCTGTTGCTGGTGATGGGTTGACAGTGCATGTTTGGTTTCGGTTTTGAGAACTCAGGTAAGAAGCAGGGCTGGATTCATAGTGGTGAGCCTCGGTGACAATGTCTGGGGATGTTTTGGGTTGCCATACGTGGGGGCTGTGCTTCTGGCATCCAGTAGGTAGAGGCCAGAGGCGCAACTCAATGTCCTGCAGTGCACACAACTTTTCGAAACAGTATTGTCCTGCCCAGAATCCGGGTTTACAGCAGGCAGGGGACCGGCCCCACTAGCTAGTTCAGCGGAGAAGGCAGGGCCCCCAAGGAAGCCCCAGAGCCCTATAGAGGATCCATTCAGGACACAGCAGGGAGCTCAGGATCACAGGATTAAAGGGCCTTGCTGGCGGTTCGTAGCCCCATGGCTGGGGTCTCCCTGAGAACCAAGGGCTGGGAGGGGGAAAGTCACCAGCCAACAGGGCCCCACTCAAGGAAGAACTAGGCCTTGCTGGCCATTCTCATCACCACCAGGGCAACACCAGGCTGGTGGCCACATGTGGCCTGGAGACGCTGATCCCATCGGTGGCCTCCACAGTGCTGGCCTGAGGCTGAGCACACGGTGGGTGCCCCATACCCCCGAGGGCTGTGGTCCCTGTGCCTGGCCTCTCCTCAGACCCCAACCTTTCCTCTTTTCCCAGAGCCGGTTCCAGAAGCCTGGAATCCTCAGAGTAACGCGATCCCAGCTCCTGCAGAGCAGGGTTGGAGCCTGAGGCAGCCATATGGCTGGCACTCTGCCCCTTTTTGTCTTCCCAGAGGGTGTCTAAATTCTGTCTACATCCTCTCCTTTCTTGCTGCAATGCCAGCAGATGATACTTTCTCAGCAGATGGGACACATGGGGCAGGGTGCAAAGCCTGGAACTGGACCGGGTGATTAGGCTTCTCGGGAGCAGGACATTCAGCAGCTGTCACCGCCCATGTCTGGCCTACAGCTAACTTTCGCTTCTGCCTCTACCTCGTAGAAGAGGGTGCGTGCAGAAGTCAGGGTGCTCCGAGGACACGCCTGCTCAGTGAGCCCCTTGGTGCCTCCTTTCTGCCAGTGGGAGCAGTCACAGGTGTCCTTGGAGGGCTCCAACCCGGATACACCAGTGACCTCCCCCGCCCAGAGGCGTTCCTGTGTCCCTTGGGAGAACCTCGGCCTTTGCATTTAGGACAGGGGAGGAATCACCCATCTGAGGTCCAGTGGGGCCTCGTAGACTCTGTCTCCTCCCTCTTCCCCTCTCTTCTCTTTGTGGTTTCTGCTTAGGGAAATTCAACAAACATATCTGAATTCAATTCTCTCAGCTGCCAAGGAGCAGGGTGCTTGCTGGGGAACCGACGTGACTTTAAGAAGCTTCCAGGCCAACTGGAGGCAGCAGGTAGTGTCCACGCCCTGCGTCTCCAGCTGTAGGGGCCTCCAGGGGAGATAAATCGCAGACTGGCAGAGTTAGAAGAAGCCATGATATCACCTAGTTCACCTGCCTTGTGCACATGGGGAAACCAAGGCCCCAGCTTCTTGTAGTGACAACAGTGATCATCCATGCCCGGCTGACCCTCTGTAGGACACATGCTATGGAAGACAGGGGTTCTGAGTTGTGTAGCCTTGTTGGAGAAACTGAGTCTACTACCCCTCACACGGCACCAAATTAAGAACCACAGAGTCATCACCCTTAGAAGTCATGAAAATCCTTTCTCCTCTGCTCATAAATCCCAGGGACCACAGTGTGGGTCCCCATAGGCCCAAAGCAATATAGACAGTTTAGAAGCCAAGGCTCCTACCGCAGCCTCTTGGTTCTGCAGGGCCTTCAAGCCCTCTGCCTTTGGCATGCTAGTCTGCCATTCAGGACCCATGCAAAGTCAATTTTCTACAGCAGATAGGAGACATACACACAGGGCTTAGGCACCTCTGGGCCCCCAGCGTGGAGGCCAGGAGGCTGGGGGGGAGGAGCAGGGTCTGAGACTGACCCACTCACCTGAAAGCATAAGGTTGACTGCTGTGACTCTAGAAAGGGTTGGTCATGAGGCCGACTGACTTCATGATGCCTCTTTTGCCGGGAAATCAAGCTTTCTTTTTTTTTAAAATTTGTTTAATATTTTATTTTAAAGATGTGAGATACAATTCAGGATTAGGTATACAAGTGGGCATTGTACAGGTCAAGTCTGGGCCTCCCTTTGGTCCCCACTTTGACTGATTTGAGATCTGGTATGCTTCTTGATGTTGTGCCCACCTCCCGCCAAAATCAACCTTTCCACATGGCCTGATACCTGCAACTGCTGGAGGTGTGGACTGATTGGGGACTGGCAAGACAGAGTCTGTGAGTAGGGAGCCCCACTGGCTTCTCTTCTCATGTAGCAAAATATGCAAGGGCTGGTGCAGGAAGGGTCTCTCCGGTGGCAAAGGAGACCACCACCCGGCTTCCTCACAGTCTGCTCACCCCGCCCCTCCCCCACGCCGGAAGCCAGACCACAGGAATCTACCAGGGAAAAGCGGGCCTTGCGGGGTTGTAGATGTGCCCCGTGTTCACGGCAAGTGTCCCCTGGGATGTCCATGGGTCAGGGGGTACAGGTGCAGGAGGCCATCGCTTTGGGATGGCGGTCAGCACAGAGCAGGAAGCAGCATTGGCAAGGCAAGTCACCATGTCCTAATCCCTTCAATGTCAGAAAACGGTCCACCTGCCCCAACCCTTGGCACGCGGTGGGCCCAAGTCAAGCCCGCTGCTGACCTGTCATGGCCGCCAGGAGGGGCAGGGGTCACAGCAGAGGGAGGTACCTCAGATGGCGAGTGTCCGGGACGGCCCGGTTGCTGGAGATCCGTTCGCTCTCCCGCTGGTTGAAGGCGTACAGCTTATAGGGGTCATCCCCGACACGCCACTTTTTGGCATTCAGATACCGTCGCTCAGCAAACTGGTCCCACAGGTCCTCCCAGTCGGTGTCCGAAGGCTGTGTGACAGGGCGACAGGAACGGGAAGTCTGTGAGAACAGCTGCAGCCCCACTGGTCCCCGTCGGACTGTCCGAACCCAACCCAGAGGCCAATGAGGCTCAACCCAAAACAGGGTCAGAACCCCCAGTAGCAAAACCATCAGCAGCCATCATGACAAGCAGAATGATGACAAGGACAACTGCCACCATCTCCTGAGCACTGGACACAGACACCAGGTGCCGTGTCCTGGGCACTGTCCTCGGACCCCGGCTCACACCATTTCACGGGGTCTCAGCAAGTCTGTGAGGTGGACCCTGTATACACTCCCATTATGCAAACGGGCAGGCTCTGTAGGCGGGTGCCCTGCCCAAGACCCCTGTTAGGAAATGGCAGTGTGGGGCTTGGGTTTTTGTATCCCGACCCCAGAGACCACCTCTCCAGGGCAATTTGAGAACATCTGGCCTAAAGCGCTGCCCTGTAGCTGTCACCGAGTGGATACAAACCACAGCCCCCTTCTCCTGCTGCAGGAAAGGCTGTGACAGGAAGGTCATGTCTATTAGATGCCTGTCTGTTCCTTTCTTCCTTCCTCCCAGGAATCTGACTGTTTTTAAGAGGCATCAATGGAGGAGTGAGATACCCCTCGTCGGGTGTGGATGGGCACTTTAGGAGGTGGATGGCAATTTCTGAGTTCTGATCTCGGTTCATTCTCACCCAAACCCAGATGCTCTTCCTGCACTGTGCTGGGTGGAGAAGACGAGACTCAGCAAGGTCACCAGCATGCCTGAGGCCACACGGAGGAGGGGCAGAGCCCGGCAGAGCCAGCAGTGCCTCCCGGCCAGAGCCCCGGATGCCTGGTCCCATACCAGCTCCACGGACTATTCCCACGCCAGCAGAAGGCTTGGGCCTCCCCTTGGCCAGGTGGACACTCATTGGGTGGCCACTGCCCAGTGCATGTTAGCACTCTCAGCCCTGGGGAAGGGTCAGTTTGTATCCAAACCCCAGGACGCGGCATCTCTAGGATGAGCCTTGGGTCCTGATCAGCTGATCAGGTTCTCACCTGGAGCATGGGGGCTGGTGACCCAGGGATGACGTCATCCCTGAGGATGTGACGCTCACTCGTGGGTTATGACCTCAATGGTCATGCAAGTGCAAGTGTCACAAGCTGACTGTCAAGGGGCCTGAGCTGGGAGCTGCCTGTCCTGTCCCCAGCAGATGCTCTTCCTGCACGTGGGGACTGGCCTGGAGGGCCCAGGGCAGGTCCAGCAGACAGTGGTGTGGGCACTTGGCTGCAACAGGTCTGAGGGAGGGGCTGCTAACCAAGCTGCATGTTCACCTGGGCACCACCGTGAGCTTATCCGGTAATTGATCTCCCTCTCTGTTATCTCCTTAGGAAACAGCAGTCTCCTGCTAATAGCATAAAATGAAGCTTTGGAGACCAGAGATTTTTATCCAATAATTGATTTTATTAATGTCCTGTGATCCTGCTGCCATGGAACATGCTAGAGGGTGTTTGGGTGGGGCATGAAACCCCAGGCCTGTGCCAGGCAATGTCACAGCCTGATGGCTGTCACCCCTGTTGGAACATCACACCACGGCGACCTTGAATCCCATCCTCGTGGAAAGGGCCCCAGCACTGTCCTCCATGTACTCTTTTCAGCTAAGTTCATGGATAAGTTGTGAGTCTTCCAGTGCTCCAAGATGGGGGGAGGATGTGGGTTCAGAAGTCCCCTGCTCGCAAGGGAATGCAGTGCTGCAGACACACAGAGAGACACCCACACCACACACTGCAAGGTGCACACAACTACAAGCCCCATGACAAGGATGTGGAAGCATGGAGGGCTGGGGGCCCTGGGACAGGCCCCTGGACATGATTCTGATGAGTTCAGTCTTGAAGGATGGGTAGGGACCTGGTTTGCTTAAGGGAGGACAGAGAGGGAATGTAAGTATGCAGTCAAAAGCCAGATCAAAGGCAGTCTACTAGTCATGGCTCCCTGGAGAAACAGACCCAATCATGTGTGTGCGTGTGTGTGTGTGTGTGTGTGTGTGTGTGTGTGTGTGTGTGTGTGTGTTTGTACACAGTCACATGCCGTGAAACATTTCCATCACGGACAGATCACATACCCGATGGTGGTCCTGTAAGATCATGAGACTGTGTTTTGCTGTGCCCTTTCTATGTTTACATGCACAAATCCTTACTATTGGGTTGTAGCTGCCTAAAGATTCAGGATAGTCACACGCGGTACAGGTTTGTAGCCTAGGAGCATGGGCAAAAGACCATATAGCCTAGGTGTGCAGTAGGTTAGACCATCCAGGTGCGTGTAAGCGCACACTATGGTGTTCACCCAAGGGTACAATCACCCAGTGTTTCTATATAAAGTGTATATGCGTTTTGTCAGAGTCCATAAAGGTTTATATACAAAGAGATGATAAGAAAGGGTCTCATGCGACCAGTCCCACATTCTGACCAGTCCCACACTCTGTGGTGGTCTTGCCAGAGACGCAGAAAGAGCTATGCTTTCTGTTAGAGTCTGATACCAGGAAAAACCAAGTCCCAGCCAAAGGTGGTCGGAGAGGGGTGTTCCTTCTTAGCACCCTGCTCTACTCAGACCTTCAGCGAGTTGGACGGGGCCCACCCACACTGGGAAGGGCAACGGCTTTGGCAGTCGAACAACTCAGATGTTTGTTCGTATCATCCAGAATCACCCCAGAGACACACCCAAAATAATGTGTGACCAAATGCCCGGGACCCTGGGGCCCAGCTGAGTGGGCACATAAAAATAATCATCGTAGCCGGGTTCGGTGGCTCAGCCTGTAATCCCGCACCTTTGGGAGGCTGAGGTGAGTGGATTGCCTGTGCCCACGGGTTCGAGACCGCCTGGGCAGCGAGACCTCATCTCTACAATAAATCAAAAAAATCAGCCGGGCGTGGTAGCGCATGCCTGTAATTCCGGCTACTTGGAAGGCTGAGGCGGAAGGATCACCGGAGCCCAGCAGGCCGAGGCTGCGGTGGCTGGGAGCGGCCACTGCACTCCAGTCTGGGCAACAGAGTGAGACTCCAACTCAAAATAAAAAAATAAATAAAAAATAACCATCGTGGGTAGGAAGACCCAGAGGAAGAGGATCTGCTCAGGGAATGGATACTCAGGAACAGAGGGCTGGGACATCCACTGCAAAGAGAATAGGGGTGAAGGACACTCCAGAACGCATCTGAGTCTGCAGGAAACAAGTCCTGGGGACACATCTTGGGCCACACGTGTAGACAAGAGTGGAGGGGGAGTGTCACCACAAAAGACTAGTGGAAATGGCCTTCATCTTCCAACCTAGGGAGAAGGGATGCCAGAACTGGGGCCTGCTGGGTGCCACATGGACAGTTCTAGAACCAGCACCTGGGAGATGCGATATCACCAGCCTCCTGGCCTCATCCCGCAGGGGCTAAGAGGGCACACGGACGGTGGTCTGTTCAGCTGGGCTGGGGCTACCAACAGGGCAGCTAAACGTCCTGGTGGTAACTACCTTCCTCGAGTGTCAGGGCTGAGAATTCAGCAGAAATTCTTGTTCCCAGAGGGCCAGGACGGCAGCCAGGCTGACAAGAAAACCATGTGAACAGCCTGTGGAGGGTATCCTTGGAGGGGACTGTGCCCCCCGGATTGTCACGTGCACGGAGTTCGTTCACAGTCGACTACACTGAGACCCACCGAGCGTGAACAGCCCTCCTGAGAGCACGGCTTTTCTGTATTGGCATCTGCACCTATTCGCAATGGTGAGGAAGGTCCAGAGAACAGCACCAGTATGGAGAAGCACTTTCTGTTTCACAACACAAGACCCCACATAAGTCCCATGTGTGCAGGGATGGACACTTACTATCACCATGGTCATCTTTGAAGGACTCCCCTTGGGAAGCTATGCACAGATGCCAGTGCCTGTCAAAGCCACTTTGGAACTCTTTTTCTGGAATGGCCCTCAGAGCCATCATCGTATTACCCTTGATGTCCTGAATGTTCTCAAATGTCTTCCTTTCAATATTTCCTTTATCTTCGGGGAAAGAGAAAAAGTCATTGGGGGCCGGATCAGGTGAGTAGAGAGAGTATGCTGCCAACATAAGCACACGTGGCAAGTTCACGAACTTGATAGTCAGACCACAACAAATAACAAAGATGGCTCTGAAAGCCATTCCAGAAAAAGAGTTCCAAAATGGCTGTGACAGGTGGGCGAGGCACCAGTGTTGGTGCATAGCTTCCCAAGAGGAGTCCTTCGAGGGTGACCGTAGTGAGATTCAGCAATGAAGTGTGGAGTGCTTTTTCTAGGACGGTTCACGAACCTCATCGTCGGACCTTGTATTATTAAGAGCTAAAGCTATTCTCCCTGTCTGATGGAATCTTTGTGCCCTTGCGATGACACCT